GTTCTGAAGGCAAAAGGGGGTCCAACCCGTTACTAGCGTGGTGTACCTAATAAAGTGGCCGGTGAGTGTATATTACTCTGTTTTTGCCGGGAAACTAGATCTTTGGGGTGAACTAATCTTTGTCGTAACGTGTTTTGGGGTTTGAAAGCCACTGGGACGTCAAGAGAATCAACGTCTCAGTTTCTCTGAAACTCCTGCCACATATGGAATGATGACTGGTTGGGTCTGGGTTTAGGGTCTTCATTTTCAGCTGGTTGTTGGCTGGAATCCTGTTTGGGTTTCTTGTCTGCTTTCAGAAAAGCCCAGTCAGGATAACCGCACTGCTCCAAGGCCTGTCTTGTGTGTGATTTCTCTTTCTCCCTGGCTCCTGTGTTTGTGGGGACACTGTTTGCTCTGTGGTGCAGAGTTCTATTGTTAGGCGATGGCCCTCTTTTGCATGTGACTAACCTGTTTGTCCATGTGGAGGCAGTGCTTATAAGGCTGAGTTCACCTGAAACTCATCAGACTGAAGAACTGTCTTTGAGGGGAGACGAAATGTTTCACTAAAGAAGAACCCATCTAGAGGAGCTACTTATTTTTTGTTTTTTGTTTTTTTCTACCTGGATTACTGAGACGCATCAGGACATACTAGAGTAATATACATTTTAAGCATGGGGACAGCTGCCAAGGTACAAAGCGAGATGAGGTTGGGTGGACCACGGCAACAAAAGGCTAGAATATATTTTGGCAAACCGTGCCCATAAAATGCTGGTTTTCACAAACAGGCTGCGCCCAATATTTCCACACAACATGCTGGTTGCAAACACTCACGATTCAATGTGACAGCAAATGAAAATTTATATTTTAGTCATTATTTAGTCTCCAACGATCACAACCCAGTACAGTTCCTTAATCAAGTAATGTTAATATGGCTCAAACCAAACAACAGACGTTCTTAAATAATAATAAAAAAGAAAAGTTGTTTGGAACAGTGGAAGCTGGTGGAAGCGGCGACACTGTAGAGACTTTGTTTAGCAACGCCCCCGCCCTCCCTCCTGCACGTCAAGCAGCCTGAAACTGAGGTGCGGTTCTCAAGTAAACATGGCGTCTTCCAGATGTCTTCAGCATCCATCAGACCACGACAAGACCAGACCTGCGACTCCTTATCTCCCGACACCCCCGGGCTCTGCCCATCCCAACCCCTGAGCTTCAACAGTCAACAGAGTCAAACTGTCAGGATCTACGACACACCAGGCAGGTGGAGCAGCAATTTTCTAACATGCAGCACAAGAAATCTGACACTCCTTTCCTTACATTAGCTTCCGGCTTTAATACCCAGTCAGGCTTGTCCCGTCACATCTCGCTTTGGGCACAAATATGTCAGAGGAAAAGCTATTAACCTTTTGAGTTTCTCACACCAACAAAATACATTGTTTAAGAGGTTATGTAGCGCCACATTCAGTCTTTTTCTTATTATTTTAAGTGACTCACCTGTTGCAGAACTTTGTCCAGAGGCTCGGCGCTGATGATGTCCTCTAGAGTCACCCCGGTCTCTTCTTTACACTGATCTGTCAGCTCCAAAGTGTCTGGCTTGACAAAGCATTTATGAAGCTTTCCCACCTGTGAAAGGAGTTAGGGTTTCATGGAGCAGAATACAGCATGGAAGCAGAAATAAAAACAAAACAAAAAGGCCAATTTATGGTAACAGTCCCCCACCTATACAAGAAATGAACTCTTCAAAAAAAAAAAGGGTCAAACAATTGACAATTGGCAAAAAAAAAGGCAGTTAATTGTCAATAAAGCGTGGTCTGTATCAAGAAGCTTACATGCTATAAACCAAAAAGGTGTGTTTTCCACATTAGGTGAAATGTCACCTCTTTATTGAAGGTGTTGTGTGTAATTTGGTCACCTGTTAAAGGTGAGTACGTAGCGTTAGCTAGCATTAGAGCCCAGCAGACGGTCATAGAAAACCACACCGTGTTGATTTAAATGTTAAACATACTGGTCCACTACAGGTAGATACTAATGCCACAAACACTCCGAGCTACACAAGGAAACCGTACAACGAAGAGGAGGAGAGGGGGGGTCAGAAAGGTCCGTACCTTTTTCTCATGTAGGTCCACAATTTGCCACACCAAGAGAATTATTTCCCTCTCATCCGAACCCAGTTTACCCCCATTTGCACCAGCTGTTGCCCCAAAGAACACCACCAGAGTATCACTGTGCGAAGCCATCAGGGACCACAAGGGTAAAAAACTACAATTAAAGCAAAGATTAAAAAAAAGAAAAATAAAATAAAGAAAAAAAAAGAAAAAAAAATAACACGAGGGTTCACCTTTTCCAAGTGATAAGGAGAGCGAACAAAAGGGCTGGAAACTCAATTGAGATAAAAGGCAGAGAGAGACAAAAAAAAGGGAGATTATTTTCAGAGGAGCCACGGAAGAGTTTGCGGTCAGACACTACCTGTTGCAGTACTTGAGTGTGTTCTATCCAGAGATACTGGTTTAACTGGTAAAGAAGGGTGGAAATCCGTGTTCCTTTCACACGAACTCCATAACAAGCCCCGGAGGTGGTTTTTTTTTCCTCCCTCTTCTAGCTTTTTTTTTTTTTTTTAGAGTTACCTGTGTGGTTCGGCCTCTGAGCCGAATGAGTCCGCCTATTGGCTGGTTCGGAAAGGTGAGGGCGGGACTTGTTGCTGTATGCTGAAATATAATTGGCTGGAGGGTTTCAGTCCAGGAAGTAGCGTGCTAAATCAGGCCTATGGTACAGCAGACATGTCCATTTCTGATAGTGGAGAGGCAAAGTGCAGGGAAATGAGGAACAGGTCCGCCACAAGGCCGCTTTTAAATATTGTCAGAATTTATGTCTAGCGAATTTGCATTAAACAAAGCTATTAAAATATAAACTAAAATAAAACTTGATCTGAAAAAAATAGTTTAGACAGGCCTTTGGTCTTTGCATTATATATCATATCACATTGTGATATGATATATATTTCTTACTTTTATATAGAACATTAAAT